CACATTTAATTGAAAATAGGACGCCTCACACCTTGGGACAAAATCATCGATGACAGGGCCGGGGCTGGCCTCATTGTCCTGAAGCTGACTAACAATAACAGAGTCATCTGAAGAGACATCAGAACAATTGGTCTAAAATCATCAAGGTTTTGGGGCAACTGGATGTGGGAACAGGGACTAACATATCACCCTTCCAGACTTAGTTACATGCTGTGCCTGTAAGGACTTGTGAAAAGGAAAAATGTTGTGGAATACAAGACTCAGATCTTTTGCACAAGATTTAAATAAACGACCACAGATTATGTCAGGTCCATGATTCTTATTTACTCTTACCGAGAGGAAGGCTGATTATCTTCAAGTTTGTTACTCAGTTCTTGAGTTTCATTACTTAAATCAAAGGAACCAAAGCAATCATAAAAAGGATTAAGAGCATTAGCAAACTCAGCATCTGAGTTGAAACCATCCAGGGTGACTTGACTGCTGTTCTTTGGATTCTGGAGGATGCTACAGTTTTCAGACCTGTTTTTGATATTAAGCTATTAAGTCAAAACCTGAGCTCTACTCAGAAAGTTCCTCTCAGGACTGTAGCCATCTTTTTACTGAGATCTATTGGTGGCCGTGGGGGTTGAGAAGGGAAACTGTTGGTTTCCTGCTTCCCAGAGCAGCTTCCATTTTTTTCTTCTGCACATTTAATGTGTCTGATTCTCTGCTCTCTATATCATCATCCTCTCTCTCTGTGCCTCCTCTCCTCCTCTTCCCCAGTGTGAATATGGCCGTCAGATTAGAATATAATATTTTTATAGTAGAATTTAGAGAAATAGTGTTTTCCCCAGGAAGCCAAAGTATGTCATCACTTATTTTCTGAGCTTGGTGATCTCATAGAAATACCACCACTGAACTGCACATCTGAGCTCTCCCTCTCTTGCAGCATAGTCCAGGACCTGACTGGTCTAACACAGTTTTATCTCTCACACTCTAATTTCATACAAGCCCTCTAATTTATAACAATCTGCAGCCTGAAACATGCTCTTCATAAATAACTGTAATTTCGACAGTTCCTAAACCTTAGGAGTTTCAAAATCCTGCATGAAAATACACATGATCATTATAAATCACCTGTTTTCTTAGACACACTAATTTTCCTGGTTTCCAGCATTGGAAAGGAATTAAGGCCTACTACTCTCTGTAAAAATATAAATACAGTACGCCTATTTTACAACCTCAACATCACAGAGAAGACAGTGACAAAAGTTTTCCATCTCAGTGTGTCTTTACTTTTCCCTGTTATGTGATCAATAAGAAATCTGTCATGTAAAGAAAAGATGGTAAACAGTTGGAAATCAGAAGAAAAGTAAAAAGACAGACTAAACAGTGAGCTTAACACTGGAGTGTTTGTGGGATTGTAGAGGGACTGTAAAGGGAGCGTTGTAGCCTGTTGATCAAAGCACACAGTATGTTCTTGAAAATGTTGCACTGACCTCTTTTGTTATGTTAAAGCTAAAGAAGAAGAAACAAAAAGTAAAAACTCATCTTGTTCCGAAGATGTGTCAAGGATTTTCTGAAGCAGGCAATAAAACCTCCCTGCAGAGGAGGAGCAAAAGGGAAAGAGGAGAGCTGCAACGTCACATTTCCTCCAATGAAAGTGAAAGTGTGTCTGAGCAACAGCAGAGCTGCAGTCGAGACAAGTCTCTCTGTTTCTCTCTGAAGAAACTTTCAACTGAATCCATCAGGTTTTTCTCAACAAAACAGCAGAATCTCTGCCAAACCCTGGTGAGTACACGGCCCTACAAAGCCAAAATGCTCTGACTCAGTATTTGGTCAAAGTTTAGTTCAAACCAGAATCTGACTGTTTTACATCCGTTTAACCAGATAAAAGATTTGATGCTGTAGACTTGTGTGATCCATGATAAAAACAACATGTATATTTTGCCAGAGCAGTAAAACAGAGGTAAGAACCAAACCACAGTGACCGTATTCTACAAGCTAAAAGCTAACTAGCCTTGGTGAGATGCCCTTTGGATTGTACAAAAGTACAGAATATATATGGTTTTATGGGTTTTTCTCTCTCAACTTCCTGTTTCTGCAGAGTCCTTACTGCTGTCTGCCTTTGTAAAGCAGTACAGCTGATAATATTTTGGCCTACTGTGTCTCAACAGCTGGTATCACATAAAATCTATATATAGCGCTATACTTAGACAGGAAGTTCCACTCAGGCCTGAAATCTTTTTTAACTGAGGTCCATCTGTGAATGTTCTTCAATGGGCATGTCCGTGGCGTGGCTTCAAAGATCAACGGTACGCCATTAAACAGGAAGTTATTAAAACTTTAGTGTACATGCTCCGAGCTCTACCAAACTTTACATGGTCGATAATAGTCCCGTCCTGAACACATCTACATGAAAATATTCAGTCAACACCATAGCGCCACCCACTGGTAACAGAGAGTAAGCTGTTTCTGACAAAACATGGTCGCCTCACACCTCGACGCTTTACACGTGCGAGGGCCCGCCCAACGCTGCTTGCAGCTTTAATTAGGGCCAGGGCACGAACCATTCGAGGTCCCTATTGAAACTGCAGGGATTTCTTTCTTTCTTTTTTCTGCAAAGTAACCTCTATTTGGGGGCTTAGACCTACTTGAAAACTCCCCAAACTTTGCACAAAATTCAGGAGTGGTGAAAAAACTTTCAGGCATGGGCGTGGCAAAATAGCTCGCTAGCGCCCCCTACAGAGCAGCCCCCGGACTAAGTTTCACCTGCGTGTACGACATTTCTGTGGTATGTGTATCACGTCCAGACATACAAAAAAGCCTCTTGGAGCCACTGCCTAAGCCCAACAGGAAGTCTGCCATTTTGGATTTTATGGTCATTTTTGGAACACTTTGTACTTTAACAAACTCCTCCGAGGGAATCAATCCAATCGACTTTAAGTTTTCGATGTTCAGTCTAAACCCACTGATGATTAAAAGTCGTACAAACGGTTATTACCAAAGTTCCATGCTTCGCCATGACACAGGAAGTTGTCGTAACTCAACTGTATATGCTCAGATCTCTACCAAATTTTACACGTTTATTAAGAGTCCCGCCCTGAACACATGTACCAACATTCACCCACAGTCATAGCGCCACCTTCTGGCAACAGGAAGTGACCTTTAACAAAGCAGCCCAACCACACATTTCACCTACATGTATGAAATTTCTGTGGCACATGTATCATGTTCAGATGTCTCAAAAAGCCTCCTGGAGTGATGCCCGACACCCAACAGAAAGTCGTCCTTTTTGAATCTTATGGTCATTTTTGGATGATTTACAGGCTCCGTACTTTAACAAACTCCTCATACAGAATTAGTCTCGACCGACTTCAGATTTTTGCTGTGCAGTCTAAAGACACTGATGATTAAAAGTTGTACAAACGGTGAGTTTTCGTGGAATAAAACGGGAAGTTGTTGTAACTTCAGTGTACATGCTCACATCTCCACCAAATTTGGAATGTACTAAAAAAGTCCTGCCTTGAACAAATCCACATGCCAATATTCACTCAACGTCACAGCGCCACCTGCTGGCAACAGGAAATGACATGTTTATGCTTTAATGTACTACTCCTAGCAGGTTGGATATATCAAATTCAAAACTTTCCCAGACAACCAATAACGCATTGATGAAGCCATGTTGTAAAACTCATGACTTTGCAGTAAATGGTGTGCCGGTGGTGTGGCGGCAAAGTTAAACTCTTTGCCATGATGCAGGAAGTAGTTGTAACTTGACTGTTCATGCTCACATCGATTGAAACGAGTCCTGCCCTAAACACATGTACAAGACAACATTCACCCATAGTCATAGCGCCACCTACTGGCAACAGTAAGTGATCTTCAATGAAGAAGCCCCCGTGGCACATGTATCATGCCCAAATGTGCAAAAAAGCCTCTTGGAGCGATGCCCTAAACACAACAGAAAGTTGACCATTTTAATCTTATGGTCATTTTTGGATGATTTACAGGCTCCGTACTTTAACAAACTCCTCATACAGAATTAGTCCGACCGACTTCAGATTTTTGCTGTGCAGTCTAAAGACATTGATGATTAAAAGTTGTACAAATGGTAAGTTTTCGTGAAACGACGTGCCCGTGGCGTGGCATCCAAAATCAATGATTCGCCATGAAAGAGGAAGTTGTTTCAACTTCAGTGTACATGCTCACATCTGCACCAAATGTTACGTGCTTGATAACAGTCCTGCCCCGAACACAACTACATGTTCATTTATAGTCGTATATTGTGAAGAACACGTTTGTTCAGCGTCCGAAGCCCATGGCAAATTAACAGCCACACTGGCAGAGCTCCAGAATATGCAACGTGGCCGCCTCACACCTCGACGTGCTACATGCGAGGGCCCGACCAACGCTGCTTGCAGCTTTAATTTTAGTTTGTGTTCATTGAACTTGGAACTTGATCATCAATGGCCTGAAATCAATATTGCAGGCTGCACCAACGTTTAAGTGTGAGTTTGGCAGCATTTACATCAATATCAACACCAACACCACCTGCTGCTCTTTCTCTCTCTCCACCTGTTGCAGTAGGTTCTGTTTATTTTGTCTCTTTGACTTATATTACTTCATCATTGGTTGATTTTATGAATCAAAACATAGGTAATAGTTTTGTTTTTCCTTACTTGTTGTCCTCAGAGTGTGGATGTGTCTGCTGCCAGCTGTCTGCTGACTGAAGATCAGTTTCTGTGCTCCATCTGTCTGGATGTGTTCACTGATCCAGTCAGCACACCATGTGGACACAACTTCTGTAAAACCTGCATCACTGAACACTGGAATATTAATGTCCTGTATCAGTGTCCCAACTGTAAAAAGGTTTTCAACACAAAACCTGAGCTGCAGGTCAACACTTTCATCTCTGAGATGGCTGCTCAGTTCAGACAGTCAGCTCAACAGAAAGCCAGCATCAGCAGCTCAGAGCAACAAGCTGCCAAACCAGGAGAAGTTCCCTGTGACGTCTGCACTGGAACCAAACTGAAGGCCCTGAAGTCCTGCCTGGTGTGTCTGGCCTCCTACTGTGTGACTCACCTGGAGCCTCATCTGACAGCTTCACGCCTGAAAAGACATCAGCTGATCGACCCTGTGGAGAACCTGGAAGGTAGGATGTGTAAGAAGCACAATAAACTGCTGGAGCTATTCTGTAAGACCGACCAGATGTGTGTCTGCATGCCCTGCATATATTCAGACCACAAGACACATGATGTTGTTCCTCTGAAAGAAGGATATGAAGGAAAGAAGGCCGAGCTGGGGAAGACAGAGGCTGAAACTCAGCAGATGATCCAGAAGAGACGACTGAAGATTCAGGAGATCAAACGCTCGGTGGAGCTCAGTAAGGTTTATGCAGACAGAGAGATAGCAGGTGGTGTTCAGGTCTTCAGCGCTCTGAAGGAGTCTGTTGAGAGAAGCCAGGCCGAGCTCATCGACACGATCAAAGAGAAGCAGAGAAAGACAGAGAAACAGGCTGAAGGCTTCATCAAAGAGCTGGAACAGGAAATCTCTGAGCTGAAGAAGAGAAGCTCTGAGGTGGAGCAGCTCTCACGCTCTGAAGACCACCTCCACCTCCTCCAAAGACTCCTGTCCCTGAACGCTGCTCCACCCACCAAGGACTGGACAAAAGTCAGCGTTTGTCCACCTTCACATGAGGGGACTGTGAGGAGAGCTGTGAATCAGCTGGAGGAGACGCTCAGTGAACTGATGAAGAAGCTGCTTGAGGCCGAGCTGAAGAGGGTCCAGCAGTATGCAGTGGATGTGACACTCGATCCTGATATTGTACATCCCAGACCTGCACAATCTAATGATAAACAACAGGCAAATCAAGGTAGTGACTGCAGATGTGTCTTATCAAAGCAGGGTTTCACTTCGGGAAAATTTTACTTCGCTGTTCATGTTGAAAAGTGGTCTACGTGGACTTTAGGAGTGGCCATAAAGTTGGCCAACATGAAAGAAAAAATCACACTGGGTGCCACTAATGGTTACTGGACTGTATGCCATAAGTGGCGTGGTGGGTTCTTTGCTCCTGCAGACCCTTCAATCTGTTTCTCTCCGAAGTCTCAGCCTGAGAAGGTGGGGGTGTTTGTGGATTATGAGGAGGGTCTGGTCTCCTTTTATGACGTTGATGCTGCAGCTCATATCTACTCCTTTACTGGCTGCCGCTTCACTGAGAAACTCTACCCGTACTTTAGTCCCTGTCCGAATGATGGTGGTAAAATCCACAACACTGATTTGTGTGTAGTGCAATGAGTGCTTTTTTTTTTTTTACTATTAAGTAGAAACTGCCTTCAAAACGGCCAAAGCTGTACAAAAATGTAATGAAAAGGTGAAGCTTTTGCCAAAGTCATTATAAGCCTAGGTGGTAATTCAAAACCTTGATGGATGTATGTAGGATATAGTGTTTTGTTACATGCTTTTCTTCTTTTCTTTTAATAAATAAAACCAAATCTTGGATGTTTGTAGGTCAGAAGACCTTACGTATGTAAGAACTAGCGGCTGTTATCAATGCTAAACTACAAAACAACCTCGAACAGCAGATGTTGTTTGTAATGTTTCGACAACCAACTCATACCAAATGAGCCAAAAGCTGCTCCACCCACCAAGGACTGGACAGAAGTCAGCGTCCGTCCACCTTCATATGAGGGGACTGTGAGGAGAGCTGTGAATCAGCTGGAGGAGACGCTCAGTAAACAGATGAAGAAGCTGTTTGAGGCCGAGCTGAAGAGGGTCCAGCAGTATGCAGTGGATGTGACACTCGATCCTGATACAACACATCCCTTGCTCATCTTCTGATGATGGAAAACAAGTAAACTGTGGTGATAATGAATACAAAGCTCTTGCTGAATATTTGTTGCTGATGTACGGTATATAACTTTAATGAACAAGACTAAACCATCAGAATACAATGTCATCAGGAATAAGAACATTTGCATGCTTTTCTCGGTTTTTCTTTTTAAATAAACAAAAGCCTGATTAAGTTATTTTGTTTTGATTGATATTAAAGCTGAAAAACAGCTGATGGTGTTTCTAATGAGACCAAATCATGTGATCAGCCATTTTCAGACATGACTTGACGTGACTACCTAACCCCATCACATCTGAGATGGTCCCTGTGTAAGATAATGTGGTGTTATTTAAGGTTTGAGTTGTACAGGGTTTGCCCAGTACATCTGGGGGCCCTAAGCAGGATCATTTTGGGGGCCCTGCCTCGCAGTTGATTGACCGCCAGAACCAAAACCAGCTACTATATGCAATTATAATTTATTTTTTTACAGTATTGTTTTTAGATCAAGGTAATAATTTGGCACAGAATGAAAAACTACCCACGTACAAACAATTTCAGTACAACACAAATCACTACTGCACACAAGAAATGTAATGGGCCAGTGGGGAGGACACTGCAGCTGTAAGATTCAAAAGGTTCAATCAGCAGTATTTTTAAATAAAAACCTTACTTGGTCAGACAGATTTGATGACCACTGACTAGCATCACTTGTTGGAGGTAGAGCAGAGTTCCTAGAAACAGAGAAGGTCAGTTGGCATTCATCAGCAGAACCACTGGAGCTGTGGGGTTAAGTTGGAACATTTTTAGCTACTTAAATTTTTCAACAGAGATAAATTCATAGTGGCAACAAACAGTAAACTTACTGTATCACTAGAACCTGTCAGACTTCGTTAGTTTAAAGCAGAATTGTAATCTAAATCATAGGATCAATTTATTGTACCAAAGACAAATTATTAATTTACCATCAATTCTATCAATTCACATTAAGTTAGCACTTTTTACATGTCAGAACACAGGCTATGTGTTTAACTGACTCAAAAAACTGTCCACTCCTCTCCTGCTGCTGCAGTGACCAAGAAAGCAGACACTGTTTCTGTGCAACTTACAGCTGATCAATAATTAATTTCTAACCAACTCAGCCTTGATTCTCTTCTGCAGTCTGAGATGTTTTTCATATATTTTTGTGTCTTAGTGGGTTAAAATGAAAAATGACTTGGCACTTGGATCCATTTAGACTTGACTTGAGTCCTGAAAGAAAAACTATCAAGTCTCAAGTTCTGACCTGGTAAAATCCTCGAACAAAGAAAAATTATTAAGACAGCGACAGGCAGGACTTGAATATTAAATTATCAAGTGTTTGCATTGAAATGAATTGATCTCAGCTACAATATGCTCAGAAAAATATAACAGATTTACCTCTAACTCACTCTAAACTCATACAAGCCCTCTAGTGGAGGTCATAACAAACTGCAACCTGAAACAAATAACTGTAATTTAGATATACAAAAGTCTAAACTTTAGGAGTTTTAGTTTCAAAATCCTGCATGAAAATACAAGTAGTCTTTATAGATCAACTGTTTGTGAAAATGAAAATACAGTAGGCTTTTGCCAGTTTCTTTACTTTTCCCTGTTATGTGATCAATAAGAAATCTGTCATGTAAAGAAAAGATGGTAAACAGATTGGACATCAGAAGAAAAGTAAAAAAACAGACTAAACAGTGAGCTTAACACTGGAGTGTTTGTGGGATTGTAGAGGGACTGTAAAGGGGGCGTTGTAGCCTGTTGATCAAAACATACAATATGTTCTTGAAAATGTTGCACTGACCTCTTGTTATGTTGTCTGTTTGTAATTGTATGTTATTTTGGCTGCTGTATACTTCCACTATAGAAAAACAAGAAGAAACAAAAAGTAAAAACTCATCTTGTTCCAAAGCTGTCATGGTATTTCCCAAGGAGTCAATAAAACCTCCCTGCAGAGGAGGAGCAAAAGAGAAAGAGGAGCAAAATTAATCAGATTTGAAAGAAAATAAACCAGTTTTATTTCAACAAAAGAAGACAAAGTTCCCAAAAGTTAAATCTAACGACAGAGAACGAAGGAAGGAGCAACCGTTAACGAGGAGAGCTGCAACGTCACATTTCCTCAAATTAAAGTGAAAGTTTGTCTGAGCAACAGCAGAGCTGCAGCCACAACCTGGTGAGTACAAAGTTTAGTTTTAACCATATTCTGACTTTTTTTTTTTCATCTGTTTTACCAGATAAAGATTCGATGCTGCAGTGGAGCTGTGGGGGGGGTGGGCAGAAGGTGCGCCTGCCTCGGGCCCACGGTTCTCTCCAATTACAAAAGGGCCCACCATGGACCCAATCTGTCTGACTGAACATGCAGCCTTGTTGTGTAGTTGAATATTTTGAATACAGTTTCTTTGTCTTGATTGTGGTAAAAAAAGAAAGACCCACGTAGGCCTGTGTGTCTTCTGCAGAAGCGAGCCCACACCACTCCACAATATTCAGAGAAAAATTCAGATTAAAGTTGTACACACAAATCAGGAGGGTGAACACAAAGAGGCTGCTGTTCCTGCAGGTCAGAGGAGAGAAAAAGTCACGCATCAAAGATCCACAGTGCCTGCAGCATACCGGACAAGCCGAGGATCTAGCTGTAAAAACTAAACTAACAAAGCATTATTTATGTACATTAATTAATCAGCATTGAAAATAACCATTAAAATCAGCAGGGGAAGGGCCTAGAAACGGCTGTTTCTCTCTCTCTCCCTTACATGTCCCTTCTGTCTGTGGATCAGTGCTACAAGGGGTGGAAATGTAATTAGCACCGACAGTTAGCCTATATTTACAACCTTGAAAAAGCAAGCAGGTGAAGAAACCGAACTAAATGATGATGATCTGACTTGGGCCGTGCTGAGACGCACTGAGTCACACTTCGCCCCCCCACACACACTAACTTGACAGCACAATATTTAGACACCAAAAAAACATTAACCTACTTGCCAGCATACAGTGCATCTACCGGTATCTACCTAACTGCAACGAAATAAAATGATCAAAAACCACACAGTGAAACATTGGTCTATAATGATGAAGCTTGTAGGGTGAAACAGTAAACTGAGTAAAATATGAAATTTCCATCACAAAAGTCAGCTGCAGTCGTCTCAAAGGCACCTAATAAACTCTTAAACTCTCACTACACTTTAAGATTTTCAAAATCATGTGGAAATAAAAGTGATCCTTATAAATCACTTGTTTTCTTAGACACATTGGGTTTTTTTTTAGCTGTTGAAAGTAATGAAGGCCTACTGCTCTATGTAACTGAGGATCCTTTTCTAAAATACACTATTTTAAAACTCAACATCACAGAGAAGCCTACTTGTGGCCCAGTGACAAACGTTTTCCATCTCAGTGTTTCTTTACTTTTCCCTGTAATGTGATCAGTAAGAAATCTGTCACAAAAAGAAAAGATGGAACAGTTTGGAAAGCAGAAAGAAAGTGAAATTACAGGCTATACAGAAAGCTGAACACTGGAGTGTTTGTGGAATTGCACAGGGAGCGTTATAGCCTGTTGATCAAAATTTTGTTGTAGATCAAAAGATACAGTATTGTTCTTGAAAATGTTGCACTGACGTCTTTTGTTATGTTGTCTGTTTGCAATTGTAAGTTCTTTGGGCTGCTGAATTCTTCCATTGTAGAAAAAGAAGAAGAAAGACAATGTAAAAACTCATCTTGTTCCAAAGCTGTGTCATGGTATTTCCCAAGGAGTCAATAAAACCTCACATCTGGAGCTACACTGAGAGAAGGAACAACAGTGAAAGAGCAGAGCTGCAACGTCACATTTCCTCAAATCAAAGTCAAAGTTTGTCTGAGCGACAGCACAGCTGCAGTCGAGACAAGTCTTTCTGTTTCCCTCTACAGAAACTGAGAGACTTGTGTTTCTAATGACACCAAATTGTGCGATTAAAAACACCATCAGCTGTTCTCAGACGTGACTCGAGCTGACGAGCTCCAATCCCCCATCACATCTGAGACAGTCTGCAGTGGAAGATAATATGGTGTTATTTAAGGTTTGAGTTGTGTTTGAGCAGCTGATATGAACTCTAAACCAGAGCTACTAGTTTGTAGAGAATAAGTGACACCTGAGGACGCCCTCTAGTGGAGTTCATAACATACTGCAGCCTGTGGCCACATGAGGACGCGCTCTGAGTAAATAACTACACAGTCTGATGCTGCAGCAGATTACATGACTGCAGGAGCTCAATGAGATCCAAGTGTGTTTTGATGTTTTTTATTCTCATTCTAAAATCAGCAACTTTACTTTCACTTAAGATGACTTCCTCAAAGAATTGTACCTCAACTCCTTTTAAAAAGGGTCAAGCTCAGAGAATCCCTGCTGTAAATCTGCAGTAAATATTGGACTTTTTACCGCACTACATCTGTCTAACAACTTGCATTTTGTTACAATTCTGAAATAATTGTAAACCCATAGAGGGACTTCATGTAATCCATCCTCTCATCTGATGACATGACAACCAAACAACTTAAGATACAACACATAGAAAGACTCACTGGGAGAAAGCTTCACACAACATGCTGGAAACTCTGGTAAACAGGTAAAAACAAACTGCTCCACATTTGCTTTGCACCTTTACATCATTTCTTGCAGGCAGCACTTTGACATAATACTGGTGGTTCACAGGATAGTAATATGGATCACATTAGTATTTTATAGTATTTTGCACTGGATAATGTTACCAACCGCTTGGCGTTAGCCGGCGAGCTAATGTTACCTAACTTGAGCCAACTAAAGCACAACATCAAAATATGTTTCACATGTTTTGCAATAATTTTAGTTTACCTGACCAACAGGATGAAAGACAATTCTGTTTGGGTTTTGTCAGTTTCAAAACAATGATCGATCTGATTCTGGTTTTGGCCTGATGGGTTTCAGCACATAAAACTTTGTTGTTGGTTTTTATCCTTATGTGAAATTTGTGTTGTGCTGGGAGCCGATCATTTTATGGTGTTAGGTGACTGCATTTTGTTAGCTGTGGTGTTGTTACCATAGAAGGCAAGAGGCTTGGGAGCGTGCATGTGGAGAACCCAACCTGATTCCTTCACGTAAGAAGCACAATAGTTGCTGCTCCAAGCAACAGAGACAACAGGTTTGCAGTTCTGAGTCCTAATCTCAATGTCCACACAGACTCACAGACTTTGAAGCATGTTCCTGGTTAGTCCATGAGTGCCTAGGCCTGTCCCACTGTCAAATCATATATTCACTTTATAAAATAAGTTCCAGTGTTTAAGATTAGATAGATTAAACTACCAAAAGTACATGAAGGAGTTAAAACCATCTCTGCCCCCACCAATGACAACAATAAAGTACCGCTTACATAGATCAGTAAAATAAAAACGATCAATTCTATAATAGTAAAACACTGACAGTAGCCACTCTGCATCAGTACTTTTACTTTTAATACTTTAAGTACATTTTGTTGCCAATACTTCTGTACTTTTACTTACATGAAATTTTGAACACAGGACTTTTACTTGTAATGGAGTATTTTTATACTGTGGTACTGCTACTTTTACTTCAGTAAATGAGTTGAATCCTTCTTCCATCGCTGGTTACTGCCTGTAAATATTTAGTGAACACATTTCTACAAAGGAGCAGCTGGTTGGAGGAATGTTTTCATTTAGTGACGAATAAACCTGCAGGAGGATGAGTGTGATCAGCTGCTGCAACTGGCTGCTGTCACTGTTGTTTTAACTTTTCACTCTGAAGCCGTTTAACAGTCGTTCGCTGCTTCAGAGTCCAAAATCATCAACAGTTCACTTCATCATGTGTTCATCAGTTCATATTGTTTGCTGACAGTCGGAGAACTCAGCACTGACCTTTGGGTGGTAGGAGTGGCACGACTCCGGCCGTCGCTGTACCTTCTGGGATTTCATCCTGTTGCACTTCACTGTGGGGTTATGTTCACTGCCATTAAGGAAAACAGACCACTCACTGCTGAGGAACATTGTTTGAACATTTTTGAAAACAGCTATTATATTATACCTGAGTTTTGGAGCTGATAACAACATCAACATGAAATGTGATTAGTCAGGATTGTGTCCCCACTGTAGTAAGTCTGGTTGTTTTTATCCAGCAGGAGTGGTGTTATTGTTGTCTGTCAGTAAGTGAAGGATATATTTGATCTCTTATGCTCCAGCAGGATTGGTCCATACTGACAAGAACAGCCACAGTCCTGAGGCCTGAGTCACAACCAGAACATCCTGAAACACAGAGAACAAGTTACAGCCAATCAATCAATCAATCAACAAACTCCCTCATTTACACTGAAGGGAGGAGCAACAGTGAAAGTGGAAAGCTGCAACGTCACGTTTCTTCAAATCAAAGTGTGTCTGAGTGACAGCAGAGCTGTAGTCAAGACAAGTCTCTCTGTTTCTCTCTAAAGAAACATTCAACTGAATCCATCAGGTTTTTCTCAACAGAACAGCAGAATCTCTGCCAAACCCTGGTGAGTACACGGCCCTACAAAGCCAAAATGCACTGACTCAGTTTTTGGTCAAAATTTAGTTCAAACCAGAATCTGACTGTTTTACATCTGTTTTACCAGATAAAAGATATGATGTCAGAGATTTATGTTAATTTTGTTGCTGTTAAAAGACAGTAAATATTATCAGCTGTACTTGTTTGGCAGAGACTCTGCTGTGTTGTTAAGTCAGTTTAACTTTTCTTTACAAGATAGACAGAGACTTGTCTCGACTGCAGGTCTGCTGTCACTCAGAAGAATGTTTTGTTTCATCTTGAGGAATGTGAAAGTTAAAATGTCATGCTTTTCCAGGGCTGCTCCACCTCTTTCTGCTATGCAGGTGAGGCTTTGTTCCCTTCAGGTTTGACCTGATTAGTGACCTTCCTTTGGCACAAGGTGAATTTAGTCTGGAGCAAAGCACTTAAAGCTTGTAAGGGCACCTTGTGGTTTCCTGAGACTTTTTACCGAGTTTTATACAGTATGTCACAAAAGTGACTACACCCCTCACATCTTTGTAAAATATTTGATTATATCTCTTCATGTGACAGCACTGAAGAAAAATAACACATCACACAGCCATTCGTGTCTAAACCGTTGGCATCAAAAGTGAGTACACCCTTAAGTGAAAATGTGCAAATTGGGCCCAATTAGCCATTTTCCCTCCCCGGTGTCATATGACTCGTTAGTGTTACAAAGTCTCAGGTGTGAATGGGTAGCAGGTGTGTTGTGGTGGTGTCGCTCTCACACTCCCTCATACTGCTCACTGGAAGTTCAACATGGCATCTCATGGCAAAGAACTCTCTGAGGATTGAAAAAAAGAATTGTTGCACTACATAAAGACGGCCCAGGCTTTAAGAAGATTGCAAAAACTCTGAAATGAGCTGCAGCACGGTGGCTAAGACCGTACAGCGGTTCAACAGGACAGGTTCCACTCAGAACAGGCCTCGCCATGGTCGACCAAAGAAGTTGAGTACAGGTGCTCAGCGTCATATCCAGAGGTTGTCTTTGGGAAATAGACGTATGAGTGCTGCCAGCATTGCTGCAGAGGTTGAAGGAGTGCGGGGTCAGTCTGTCAGTGGTAAGACCATACACCGCACACTGCATCAAATTGGTCTGCATGGCTGTCGTCCCAGAAGGAAGTCTCTTCTAAAGATGATGCACAAGAAAGCCCGCAAACAGTTTGCTGAAAACAAGCAGACTAAGGACATGGATTACTGGAACCATGTCCTGTATTCTGAAGAGACCAAGAAGATGTTTCAGATGATGTCAAGTGTGTGTTTATCAGTGGATGAGCGCGAACATTAATGAGCGATTAAACTGTAGAGTCTGTAGTTACAGTCGGTGTGTCAGAAATGATTAAACCAGAGGGGACTTGTGAATAAACGTGAGCTGAACAAGCATCTAGAACACAGTTGCAGGTCCTCATTGTTTACGGTCATGTAGTATTAGATTAATTCCAGGGCAGCGTTTCCTCTGCGTCATAGAGCCAGAAGTGTGGAAATCATTTCTGCAGCATTGGATAGAATTAACAGAGTGCTGGTGATAAACTAGATGTAGAAAGTGGTCATCATGTATGCAAAGTAATAACTATTGCATCGCATCTTCCTCTTCACAATACCCCATAGATTTTCTATAGGGTTAAGGTCAGGCCAGTTTGCTGGCCAATTAAAAACAGGGATACCATGGTCCTTAAACCAGGTACTGGTAGCTTTGGCACTGTGTGCAGGTGCCAAGTCCTGTTGGAAAATGAAATCTGCATCTCCATAAAGTTGGTCAGCAGCAGGAAGCATGAAGTGCTCTAAAACTTCCTGGTAGACGGCTGCGTTGACCTTGGACCTCAGAAAACACAGTGGACCAACACCAGCAGATGACATGGCACCCCCAAACCATCACTGACTGTGGAAACTTAAAGCAACGTGGATTCTGTGCCTCTCCTCTCCTCCTCCAGACTCTGGGACCTTGATTTCCAAAGGAAATGCAAAATTTACTTTCAGAGAACATAACTTTGGACCACTCAGCAGCAATCCAGTCCTTTTTGTCTTTAGCCCAGGCGAGACGCTTCTGACGCTGTGTCTTGTTCAAGAGTGGCTTGACACAAGGAATGCGACAGCTGAAACCCATGTTTTGCATACGTCTGTGCGTGGTGGTTCTTGAAGCACTGACTCCAGCTGCAGTCCACTCTTTGGGAATCTCCCCCACATTTTTAAATGGGTTTTGTTTCACAATCCTCTCCAGGGTGCGGTTATCCCTATTGCTTATACGCTTTTTTTTTTTTACCACATCTTTTCCTTCCCTTCGCCTCTCTATTAATGTGCTTGGACACAGAGCTCTGTGAACAGCCAGCCTCTTTAGCAATGACCTTTTGTGTCTTGCCCTCCTTGTGCAAGGTGTCATGGTCATCTTTTGGACAGCTGTCAAGTCAGCATAAACTGCATTATGTAATGGTATCTTGCTGAGGTCTCAACATAACAAATGTTAGGAAAATTTTTTCTTTATGTTGTGCGTTTCTTAAAATAAGGGAAAAAGAACATCGGCCGATATCGGCTATTAAAATCCTTAATTATTGAAATTGGTATCAGAGTTAAAAATCCCATATCGGTCGGTTTTAATGATAACAATCCCAACACCACCAAGACAACCTCTGCCTCGCTAAAGAAGCTGAGGGTAAAGGTGATGGACTGGACAAGCATGTCTCCAGACCTAAACCCTATTTAGCATCTGTGTAGCATCCTCAAACAAAAGGTGGAGGAGCGAAAGGTCTCTAACATCCACCAGCTCTAAGAAGTCATCATGGACGAGTGGACGAGGACTCCAGAGGTAGCCTGTGAAGCTCTGGTGAACTCCATGCACAAGAGGGTTATTGCTGTGCTGGAAAATATTGGTGGCCACAAAAAAATATTGACACTTTGGACATTTTCACTTAGGGGTGTACTCACTTTTTTTTTTTCCACGTTTAGACATAATGGCTGTGTGATGTGTTATTGTACACTCATTACTTTACATTGTAGTAAAGTGTCATTTCTTCAGTTAAAAGATATAATAAAATATTTACAAAAATGTGAGGGGTGTAGTCACTTGTCACATACTGTATGTATTTTTCTTATATTGGAGTCTACAGCATGCTCTAACAGTCAAACAACAAAACAAGAGGTCAATTCAACACATGTGAGAACATACTGTAGTATCTTCAGCAAGGTGCAGTTGACCTTGATTTCATCCCAAGTTTGTTTTTCTCACACTTTTTATCCTCAGAGTGTGGATATGTCTGCTGCCAGCTGTCTGCTGACTGAAGATCAGTTTCTGTGCTCCATCTGTCTGGATGTGTTCACTGATCCAGTCAGCACACCATGTGGACACAACTTCTGTAAAACCTGCATCACTGAACACTGGAATATTAATGTCCCGTGTCAGTGTCCCAACTGTAAAAAGGTTTTCTACACAAAACCTGAGTTGCAGGTCAACACTTTCATCTCTGAGATGGCTGCTCAGTTCAGACAGTCAGCTCAACAGAAAACCAGCAGCAGCAGCTCAGAGCAACAAGCTGCCAAACCAGGAGAAGTTCCCTGTGACGTCTGCACTGGAACCAAACTGAAGGCCCTGAAGTCCTGCCTGGTGTGTCTGGCCTCCTACTGTGAGACTCACCTGGAGCCTCATCTGACAATGGCAGGCCTGAAAAGACATCAGCTGATCGACCCTGTGGAGAACCTGGAAGGCAGGATGTGTAAGACCGACCAGATGTGTGTCTGCATGCTCTGCACTGTTTCAGACCACAAGACACATGATGTTGTTCCTCTGAAAGAAGGATATGAAGGAAAGAAGGCCGAGCTGGGGAAGACAGAGGCTAAAACTCAGCAGATGATCCAGAAGAGACGACTGAAGATTCAGGAGATCAAACGCTCGGTGGAGCTCAGTAAGGAAGATGCAGACAGAGAGATAGCAGGTGGTGTTCAGGTCTTCAGCGCTCTGAAGGAGTCTGTTGAGAGAAGCCAGGCCGAGCTCATCGACATGATCAAAGAGAAGCAGAGAAAGACAGAGAAACAGGCTGAAGGCTTCATCAAAGAGCTGGAACAGGAAATCTCTGAGCTGAAGAAGAGAAGCTCTGAGGTGGAGCAGCTCTCACGCTCTGAAGACCACCTCCACCTCCTCCAAAGCCTCCTGTCCCTGAACGCTGCTCCACCCACCAAGGACTGGACAGAAGTCAGCGTCCGTCCACCTTCATATGAGGGGACTGTGAGGAGAGCTGTGAATCAGCTGGAGGAGACGCTCAGGAAACAGATGAAGAAGCTGCTTGAGGCTGAACTGAAAGGGGTCCAGCAGTATGCAGTGGATGTGACACTCGATCCTGATACAGCAAATCCCTATCTCATCCTGTCTGATGATGGAAAACAAGTACACGATAGTGACGTAAAGAAGAATCTCCCAGGGAATCGAGAAAGATTTGATACTTGTCCTAATGTCTTAGCAAAGCAGAGTTTCTCTTCAGGAAGATTTTACTACGAGGTTCAGGTTAAAGGGAAGACTGACTGGGATTTAGGAGTGGCCAGAGAGTCGATCAACAGGAAGGGACTAATCCCACTGAGTCCTCAGAAAGGTTATTGGATGATTTTGTTGAGGAATGAAAATGAATACGAAGCTGCTGCTGGCCATCCAGTCCGTCTCTCTCTGAAGTCTCAGCCTGAGAAGGTGGGGGTGTTTGTGGATTATGAGGAGGGTCTGGTCTCCTTTTATGACGTTGATGCTGCAGCTCTTATCTACTCCTTTACTGGCTGCTACTTCACTGAGAAACTCTACCCACTCTTTTGTCCCAGTCTTAACTATGGTGGTAGAAACTCTGCCCCTCTGATCATCTCTACCGTCAATTATACTGAGTAGAACATTTGATTTTCTACAGAAAGATTAATTTAATATAACAATATTTATTGCTGATGGTATACACCCAACACACCAATTTAACTGCTTCGACTGATTTGATCTAATATTGTCTAATTTATTCTGCATTACCTTCCTTCAAGACTGTTAAAGATGACTGTTTGATGTCTGGGTGCCAAATTCTAAACTTTTTATTGTCTGATTTTTTTATATAATTATATGTATATACAGTGCATGTTATTTAATTGTGCCTTTCATGGTCACAAGTCTGAATAAGGTCAGTGAGATAAGCAGGGGAACGATTTTAGGGGGATTTGAATAATTAATAGTAGGATTTTAAAGTTATTCCTTTTCGACACAGGGAGCCAAGTTTACTTGTATCAGCAGAGGAGAGACATGTTCCGTAGACTTCGAGTGTGTTATGATCCGTGCTGCAGAATTCTGGATGAGTTGAAGTGCCTGCTAGGATTGCATTGCAGTAGTCAATACGTGATGAGACCAAAGGCTGAGTTGGAGAAAGAAAGGGTACAGTCCAATATGACACAAAGGCTCTTTACCTGTGAACCAATGAGCAGTAGCTCAGTCTGACTGCTATTGAGTTGTAGGTGGTTGTGTCATCCGTGACTGTATATCATGCAGGCAAGCCCTATTCACTTTAGCGGCCCGTGGGCCACATCTGTCCCCGAAGCATAAATAATCTGGTATATGACAAAAAAAGTAAAACTACATGTATTGTATGGAACTAGCTAACGACTGAGCCAGATTATTTCCTTTTCATATTTGTTGAATTTTACATGAGCTGTACCAATCACCGCCAGTCCAGGGCTCAACAATAAGGAGTGCCCGACCTGCGGCATCTCCCCTACTGATGCTAACGACAACCACGCTCGTTAGTGTGAGTACGTGATGCAATAAAAACTTCGCTAGTAAAAAGCCAATACTAAATACTTAAACCTGTTTAATACACACGCAAAACGCAATGTTTTAATCTGCTCAGTCTCTCATCCACTGCAGCTGTGTTTTGGTTTTACACAGGCTCGGCGGTAGTTTGGCTAAAGCTAATTGTTAAAACAAGCTAAAGTGAAAGCTGTCTGTCTTCAGTAACGGTTTAGCTTAGTTTGCCAGTACATTAAAATATGGCACATTATAAACTCAGCGGTTTGAGACAGACCAGCCCTCCTCTCTACCTGCAGCTGCAGAGGGAGGAGGATGACGACGACGACAAGAGGGGCTGCTTGCCTGAGTTGTTCATTCTTTCTAAGGAATATGATTTATTTTGACATTTTAGATTTGTTTCCAGTGAGATATGAGTGACTTTGGTGTTGTAAATCTTTTTGTTGCTATAGAAACATTTAGTTAAATTAGTATTTCAAATAATTATTTATTTATTTATTTAGTAATAAATAGGACTGATGAGAGCATTGAGAAAGAACTGAACCAATAAGGAGTGCCAATACAAGTGTGTCAATAAAATCCTACTGATACCCATTCCAATTTGAGAATATGTCCGGCACCTCTCCATGTCCTGGTTTTAAAATCCGGCCCAATTGAATTTGTAATTGAATATCCTTGATTAGGGAAATGTTATCATGATAAAAAGTTCTATATCTTTTAATATTGATAATTATCACGATAAGTATCAAATCGTCATTTCTTTGGAGTTTAAAGGCCGATTTCTGCTCCTGAGTGAAAGTTGAAGAAACCTGATGTTAGTGGGGGAAATGTGGGGGAGATTCACAAACTGTGGTTTACACTCTTCTTTAGGGACAACACTTGATGTCATACAGTGGATCACTTCACATATCTGAGGAAGAACATTCAAAACAATTATGATAAAATCTTCAAACAAATATGCATGAGTAAAAAAATTAAAAGCTTTTTTCAGTCGATTTTAACTCAACAAAATAAACATTTTAATAAAGTCGTAATTTGGGTATGATTTAAGTTTATAAAATCAAAAATGTTTATTGAACATTTATTATATTGTTATTGAAAAATTATATCGTGATAATTATTGTTTTATTGTCCAGTTCTAGTCTTGATGTAAACACATAAAGCTGTGTATCGTCTGCATAACAGTGAAAATGGATATTGTAGTAGTAAATAATAAACATAAGTGCTCCTAAGACTGAACCATGCAGTACTCCATGGTGAACTCTGGAACTTCCTGAACCTTAGTTTTGAATTTGAACAACAGTGTGTCCTGCTGAAAGATATGAAAACCACTGAAAAACGGTTCCCCCAGTTTCAGGTGCAGCCAGACGATTAAACCCATTCTCATCCCATGGAATCAAAAATGGATGTTTTGTCAAGACCCCTTGGCGTCCCTTTTTAACGCCCTGGGTACCCTTTAGCTGTGGTTGTGTACGTGTAAGAATAACTATGCAACATCCGGTCAAGTTAGCAAGCAATGCATATGCAATGTGGTGAAACCATGTTTTCAGTAATTTATAGTAGTACTTTTAAAGTTGAACAATGATGGTAATGGGCTTCCCCCAGTGCAATGCAGAAGGATATGACAAAGCATAGCTACTTGATGCTCTGGGATAAGAATGGGCTGGACTACCCATGAGGAGGGATGTGATACAGTGTCAAAGACTGCAGTGAAGGAGGATGAGGATAGAAAGTAGACTATGGTGCACGGAGGAGGTTGCTATTGACTGTAACTAGGGCAGTTTCTGTGCTGTTTGGAATTCTTCAAGGAGATTATTGTTATTGAGGTCGGTCTGTAGTTGAGAAGCAACAACCATCTCAAGATTTTAGACATGAATGGTAAGTTTGGAATTGACCTGTAGTTGTTGTGGTTGTTGCAGTCTAAACCCGTTTTTTCCAGAGTTGTTTTGTTTATGGCAGTTTTCAGCAAATGGTCAGAGGAGTTGATAATGGACATTATTGCCATCACTGTGTGGTATTATTAAATGTAATCTTAATTTTTATACTGTTAACTAGTTTTATTATACTGTTTATTATGTACGTTGTGAATGTGATGGACATTGTTGCCATGGAGACCTTTGGGTGTGGCGTGGGCGCACCTCAAAATTTAACAGTCTACATGTGCTGTCTCCGTGGTAAGTTACTTTGACATCAGCTCCATTAAATATTTATTTTAAATCATCTTCTTGTGGGTAAAAGTGTGGTTTAATTACTTATATTAAGCATGTAATGTGAACATCAGCTTTTAGTTGCCGGTGAAAATGAGTTATGTTAACTTTGTGGCCTTTTAACTGTTTTTCTGTAAATTTGTTTAAAATGTGTGTCGTGTTTAGCTAGGTTAATTCCAGTTTAAGTTCAATGCATTTTATTGTTTTGGTTTATAGAAACGTGCTGGAGTTTTAAGACTGACTGTGATGGAGGATTAATCTTTATCCTGTGTTACCACGTACATTTAGTTCGTTAATTTGTTGATTTTGTGAAAATTTAACAGTCTACATGTGCCGTCTCCGTGAAACGTGCTGGAGTTTTAAGACTGACTGTGATGGAGGATTAATCTTTATCCTGTGTTACCAGATAAACGAATTGAAGCCAAAGATCCACTTGTGTGTGTTTCACTTTTCTACACAACGCAACCGCTACACGAGCATGCTTTAACTTGGCTTGTAGGGATTAGATCCATGTGACATATGGAGAAAATGTAGATCTTTCATAATCAACAGTACATAAAACTGTGAAAATATTTAGGCTATTTGGAGACATCGACGCATAAAAGAGCAAGGTCGGAAACCACAGTTTAATATGACCTTTAAGCCCTCAGCCAGAACTGCCTAGGATACGGTCATGCTTCTATGACAAATTTGGTTAATTTTATGTAATTATACCTTTATTTTACCAGGCAAGTTAATTAAGAAAGACACCATGGGCTAAGGTGTACTTTGGAAAACCATCGTCACTTAACACAGTCTGCTGCTGCATTCAAAAATGCAGCCTGAAACTGTATCACGCAAAGAGGAAGCCATAAATCAATTGTATGCAGCTATGCCGCCAAGTTGTTGGGACCCGGCGTCATCTCAGATGGACTGTAAAACTGTGGAACCATGAGCTGTGGTCAGATGAGTCCACATTTCAGCTTGTTTTTGGGAAAAACAGACATCAATGACATCCAGATTGTTATCAGTGAAAGGTACAAAAGCCAGCATCTGTGATGGTATGGGAGTGCACCAGTGCCCACGGCATGGGTAAGTTGCATGTGTGTGAAGGTACCATTGACGCAGAGGCATATATTGGGATTTTAGAGAGACATACAGTATGTTGCCATCAAGACCTCCATGCTTATTTCAGCAGAACAATGGTAGGCCTCATTCTGCACGGGCTACAACAGCATGCCTAGACACAGAGTACTACTCCTTAGATCTGTCTCCTATTGAAAATGTATGGCGCATCATCAAGAGGAGAATCAGACGTCAATTTTGCATCAAGCAAGAAAACTGTAAAACTGGCACAATTAGTATCTTCACTTCCCAAATGATTAGAAAGTTTTATTAAAGGAAAAGTAATGTAACACAATGGTAAACATGCCTCTATCCCAACTTTTGTTGAGTGTGTTGCAGGCATCAAATTATTTGTTTATATTAACAAAATACAATTACGCTGGTCAGTAAAACTATGGAAAATCTTTCCTCTGTACTTTTGTTAGTTAAATAAAAGTTCATGTGAATTAACAAATCCCAGAATTTTGTTTTATTGCTTTTTTGGAAAATATCCCAGCATTCTAACATTACATGTCCATACAGGTGCTGGTCATATAATTAGAATTTCAAAAGTTGATTTATTTCAGCAATTCCATTCAAAAAGTGAAACTTGTATAATGTATACATTCATTCCACACAGACTGATATATTTCAAGTGTTCATTCCTTTTAATTTTGATGATTATAACTGAAAACTAATGAAAACCCCAAAATCAGTATCTCAGAAAATTAGAATATTTTGAAAAGGTTCAATATTGAAGACACCTGGTGCCACACTCTAATCAGCTAATTAACTCAAAACACCTGCAAAGGCCTTTAAATGGTCTCTCAGTCTAGTTCTGTAGGCTACACAATCATGGGGAAGACTGCTGACTTGACAGCTGTCCAAAAGACGACCACTGACACCTTGCACAAGGAGGGCAAGACACAAAAGGTCATTGCTAAAGAGGCTGGCTGTTCACAGAGCTCTGTGTCCAAGCACATTAATAGAGAGGCGAAGGGAAGGAAAAGATGTGGTAGAAAAAAGTGTACAAGCAATAGGGATAACCGCACCCTGGAGAGGATTGTGAAACAAAACCCATTCACAAATGTGGGGGAGATTCACAAAGAGTGAAAAGTCAGTGCTTCAAGAACCACCACGCACAGACGTATGCAAGACATGGGTTTCAGCTGTCGCATTCCTTGTGTCAAGCCTCTCTTGAACAAGACACAGCGTCAGAAGCGTCTCGCCTGGGCTAAAGACAAAAAGGACTGGACTGCTGCTGAGTGGTCCAAAGTTATGTTCTCTGATGAAAGTAAATTTTGCATTTCCTTTGGAAATCAAGGTCCCAGAGTCTGGAGGAAGAGAGGAGAGGCACAGAATCCACGTTGCTTGAAGTCCAGTGTAAAGTTTCCACAGTCAGTGATGGTTTGGGTGCCATGTCATCTGCTGGTGTTGGTCCACTGTGTTTTCTGAGGTCCAAGGTCAACGCAGCCGTCTACCAGGAAGTTTTAGAGCACTTCATGCTTCCTGCTGCTGACCAACTTTATGGAGATGCAGATTTCATTTTGAATGAGGACTTGGCACCTGCACACAGTGCCAAAGCTACCAGTACCTGGTTTAAGGACCATGGTATCCCTGTTCTTAATTGGCCAGCAAACTGGCCTGACCTTAACCCTATAGAAAATCTATGGGGTATTGTGAAGAGGAAGAGGCAATACGCCAGACCCAACAATGCAGAAGAGCTGAAGGCCACTATCAGAGCAACCTGGGCTCTCATAACACCTGAGCAGTGCCACAGACTGATCGACTCCATGCCACGCCGCATTGCTGCAGTAATTCAGGCAAAAGGAGCCCCAACTAAGTATTGAGTGCTGTACATGCTCATACTTTTCATGTTCATACTTTTCAGTTGGCCAACATTTCTAAAAATCCTTTTTTTTGGATTGGTCTTAATAATATTCTAATTTTCGGAGATACTGAATTTGGGATTTTCATTAGTTGTGTAGTGAACAATGGTGTGGATTTGTGCATTTTACATTGAATAAATTTGGAACTACCCTAAATTCCTTTCTCCTCCCCAGAGAAGAAGGGGAGGGGTCAAAGTTGCTTTCTCTAAGTGCTATCCCGACCATAAAACTGGCACCTTTTTGATTCCGAAGCTGATAACGCGGGGCCTGACTGTTAAACTGACAAAGAGACACGCACCAGCCATTGGCATCTCCCTGAACAGCCTATCAAAACTGGCCCCCCCCCCCCCCCACACGTTTCCGTGGCAACTGACCTTATTCTTTGTTTTATTACCACATCAAAAAGGAAAACCCCTGTCTCACCTAAGTGTGACATGGTCCAGACACTGAACTTTGGATGACAGAGGACTTCAGTCTCCAAATACTCAAAGCATTTAATTAAGTTAATTAAATCTTTAGTTGCCTGAATACGTTTGCCTCTATTTGAGTAGTTATGTTGACTGTTGTTGCTATCTGTTGTTGATATTAGTGCTGAAAAGAAGTTACTTGTGCAGTGTTTTTATTTTTCAGCAAGACACTCCTTCATCTAATGTAATCAATGCTTGTTCATAATACTTTCTTACAAAATCCCTTTAGAAATGATGACAAAGAAATGTTTTACGATACTCTTAATCGCCAGCTTGAATTTAAGGATGAATCAACAAATTCTCCCAGTTCCTAAGGAGAGACGATCTTTGATTTAATCCAAGCTTTCCTCATGTAACCTGAGCTCCCCCAAGTGGACGAAATAAGTATTACATGCCCTCGTCGGAAATGCCGTTAAATGTATAAATATCCTGACCAATAATGTGACAATTGTTTCCTGTTACCAAATGCCTAGAACAGTACAACCGTTCAACCATTGAGGTTCGATTGTGGAAAATATTTGATTATAATACGTGCAAGTAGATTTCTTTTCTTTAGACATTAAGTTTAGAAAGGCAGTCCCTGGGGAAACCTGAGACGCCCCCTGGGGAACCACGCCCCAGGCAACAAAAGAGCAGCACGCGACCTCGCTTCGCGCTCTTCCTCTGCTTCGCTCTTGGCTCTTCCACTCTGCTCTCTGGACGCTTCGGCACGCGCTGGCGTGCCGCGCCAGGCAACGCCCTCAGTCGACCAGCGAAACAAACAGGCCTTTGTTCGCTTGAAGCTACACACGTGAAGTGCCGAGACATCGATCTGCCCTTTAGTTTGTTTTATTTTCTTTATTTCTTTTGTTTGTTAAAGTTATGAGTCCGTTAAGCTACACTGGACTAATTCAGGAACGACCAAGTTCCATTTTAAGCCTTTTTCGTCGAGCCAACTTCACCGAGGTCAGACCAAGCCACGTGGTCTCGCCAGCTACAACGAGGGAAACCTGAAAACAGCCGAATTGCCAGACGGAGGAGGCGTTTTCAATCAGACACGGAGAACCCTGGAGAATCCCTAGCAAAAAGCCAGGATCGGCAGCTAGCGTGGGACCCGTGCAACAGGCCAAAAGCAGACTGTCGACAAGCAGTAAGACTTAACACACGTTCTGTGATCAGATGTCCATTTTAACTCCTAAATTATAGCATTAGTTTACTTTCAGTAGCTCTTCTATGCCGTATGAGTCAAATGCTTCCCACAATCGAACCTCCAGGCTCATTGTTCAGCAAATGTTTATGTTCCCTGTATCCAACCACCTTTTTATCACCTTAGTTAGAGAATAAATTCACTGTAATATAATCAAGAGCTGTGTGTGTTGCCTATTTATAGTTCCTGCCAAGAGAATTGACCCTTTAGATATGAGACTGACTGACTGATTTAAGATAATTGAGCGATTATTAACTAACTGATCACTAGTAATAATTGTATAATTATTCAAAACTACCTAGAGGTCCGGAGACTCTAGGATTATAACAACTCCGGTGGTGCCCTTAACGAGGAAATTCTGATTTTATGAATTTTAATTCATAATTGGGTATCAATTCTCATAAATTTATTAAAATGCATAACTAATAAATTTAGGTCTACTACAGTTGTCAGTTTTAATCATCACAATTAAATGAAATAAACACTTGAAATATATCAGTCTGTGTGTAATGAATGAATATCCAAGTTTCACTTTTTGAATGGAATTACTGAAATAAATCACCTTTTTGAAGATATTCTAATTATATGACCAGCACCTGTATTATCAGAATTATCCAAATGGACATTAAAATCCCCCATCAAGATAGGGTTAGCATAGCACAACAACATAGCACTATGGGTGCTTAAAACTTTTCAGAGCGTATGGATGAAATATATATGATTTTGATGGTGTGAATCTTTCTACCTGCAGTCTATTAGAAGCAGGAAAGTCCGACTTAAGATACCTGATGTTAAACTGCTGCTGGATCTGAATGA